TAGTCAAATGGATGAAATATTTGAAAAAGATGATGAAGAAGAACAAGAGTTTGAAGAAGAAGATGATGAAGTAAACTTTACCGAGCCTGTACCAGAAGCTCCGTCAATGCCGATTGAGATACCTACACATCAACGTTGATCTAGACAAAGTGGTAACAGAAGTGGTAGAATGACTAGTAGAGGACGGAGTCAATCTAATCGACATACCAGCCAAACTCCATGAAGAAGAGCTGTTATGGATACATATCTAACTAATATCGAGTCATATCTTGCAACTATGCAAGGCCCAATATGCTCAATGCATGTAATCAAGCAAATGAAGATTATTAGCGTGAGTCTTGGTTACAATTGAATCAACTAGAAGATATAGAGAAATTTACAGATTTTTGGTGGGTAGCAGCAGAGATTTTGAAAGATCTGTTTGAGCAAAAAAGATTTGTATTACTTAAGGGTAACAAAGAAAGAATACGATTTCTAGAAGGGATGTCAGGTTATGACCGCAGTGGTACTTTCCGTGGTAGTCTGTGCAAACGACATCTTAGTGGTTCTAGCGGACCAAGTAGTAGAGGAGCTGTTGGTAATGGATCAAGATCTCCAGGCTTAGGAGGATTTACACATTTTGGTGGTAGTTCAAATCTGGGGGGAGTTTCAAATATTGGTAGTTCTGGTTCTCCAAACCAATTTGGAACAAGACATGAATTTCAAGTTCCAAACCCAAACCCACAATTTAATGTGTTTCCAAATCCTAGAGTTATTTCAGGTGAAGGGGTGGGGTATAGACTGACAGCTGCAGCCGAGTTACTCGAACGTTTTAATTTTTCCGACTTTAGTCGTACAAAGAGAAACAACAATAATAATAGAGAAAGCTAAATAAATAAATATTTTTTATTTCTTATTATTTAATTATATTTAGTTCTTTTTTTTACTTAACTGTTTTCAGTTTCACTATTTGTTAAGTGTTCTTACTGAAGTTATATTAATTTTCAGGTTCATCGCATTATCGAATTACATTCATGTGGGTTACACAATCTGACAGACGGTGAATTACTTGAACTAATTTTGCTGGAGCACATGGATATTATGGAAGCACTCTTCAAGCCTGTGATAGATTACTATAAAAAAGTATTATTGTCGACAACCAATGGGAAATGAATGGGGGTTGGGATGGTGCAACATTAAGACAAGAATTAATAATTATCCAGAGATTGCTTACATCTTTTGAGGATGCACATAGCAGTGTTTACACATCTATGTAAGATATTACGTACAGAGTTTGGAATAAAATACACAAAAAACATATCTGTAGAAGAAACTGTGGCAATGTTTCTTGTGATATGTGGACATAACATGGCACAACGTTCAGTTGGACTTTTATTCGGACGGGCACAAGAGACGGTTGGATGCAAATTTAAGGAATGTCTAAAGGCGTGCACAAAACTATATGCTAAATTGCTTAGGAAGTAGTCTCCCGATCAACTATGTCAGGTCCCCCGAGGTTTACGAGATGATACAAAGTATTGGCCGTATTTTAATGGCTTCATTGGTGCAATGGATGGCACTCATTGTACGGTTATGGTGACAGGTGCAGAGGCGGCTCGTTTTTATAATAGGCATTCAGAGACAAGCATTAATGTGTTGGCAATCTGTAATTTGGATTTGTTATTCACTTATATATTTGTTGGATGTCCTGGATCTGTACATGATGCGAGAGTCTTGTCTTACGAAATGGAGCGTTATCCAACTTTTCCAACACCGCCTCCTATGAAGTATTATCTGGTAGAATTTGGTTATGCTAACACCCGAGAATTTTTAGCTCTATATATAGGTCACCGATATCATTTAACACAATTTCAAGATGCTTCTCCCCTAGAGATGCAGAAGAGTTATTTAACCGATGACATTCTTCTCTTCGCTTAGTGATTGAACATACATTTGGAGTATGGAAGAAAAAATAGAAGATTTTATCAGAGTTTCCAAGATACGATGTTGAAACACCAAAATAAAATAATTATAGCAACAGCTGGATTGCATAATTTCATTCAACTTTCTCAAATTCCTGACTTTGATTTTGATAATGCTTTACAAGATGACGCTGTCCCGCAAGAACAATTTGCTAATAATGATGAAGGTGGAGAAAATGTTGAACCGAGTTTTTTACAAGAAGAAGAGAAGAAACAACGAATGGAGCACATATGCATAGTACGAGAAGGAATTAAACAACTACTATAGATTGCATATCATTAGTTTATTAATATATTTTTGAATAAATGTCTTTTTAGTTTATTAACTTCTGTATTTTGTATTTTTTATTTTAATTTTTTTTTATCATTTTTCAATTGTTATAAAATTTTGTCAAATTATAGTGAAATTTTTTATTTTCTCAGATATTTCATTTATTTTGTTAAATTCTGCCAAAAAATATTAATTTTAACAAATATAATTATAAATTTATATGTATTTAAGTTCTTTCGAACTATATATAACTAATATATTCTATGTATAATTTTTTTTTATGATAAATCTAAATACAACAAATATTTTTAAGTATATAACTGTATTTTGGATATATATTCATTTTTTGGTTTGTGTTTTTGTTATTTTAGTTTTTGATTTTTTCTTTTTTATGTTTTTATATTTTTAGTATATTAATATTACATTAAAACAATTTTTACATATATATTTATTTACTAAATTTATATTTTTAATTTTTTAAGAAAAAATTTTTCTTTTCAGATATTCAGTTACCTCGGTTACTATTGATATTATTAGCTACTCCGCTAGATTCAGCTGAAAATCATAAAAACAATTCGCAGATTCCGTATTCCGCCAAATTCTGTAGTTATCATTTACACCCATAAACATATAATCAACTAAACTTAGCATCCAGAGTAAGAGAATGGTACATACCATCTTAATGGCAAGTTGCGCAGCCTGCATATTTGTTAGTTTGACCATGTCTTTGTCGAAAGCAACAAAAACACAGAGCATGTACTATCATCGTCAACAACTATTTCCACTCAATATCTGGATTCATTTGGACACAGGAAATAAGAAATGGAATTTTAATGTTTTAACAGTCGTTTGTTTTTTTAATTTTTATATTATAAAATATTTAAAGATAAAATATCACATAAACAAAAATATACGATAACTTCTAAAAACGTAAAAACATAAAAATGAATTTAATAATGTACGTTTTTTTAAGTTTTATTATCGTTATTTTCATTCAAAGTAATCAAACCTTTTATATGAAAATTATGCGTAGCTACTTTTTTTTTTTAATAGTGATTTTAAATTGAACGTCACATTATAAAAGACAATAATTTTAATAGCAGTTCTAATTTTTGACAATATGATAAACCAATTAATCCATTTCAAAGTAATGTTTTAGAATATTGATTTTTGATTTTCGCTGGAGTTCAAATGTACAAATATATATTTTTAGTATATTTGATGAACCTGAATTTGGATCTAGACTTTGAAATTTTAGTATATTTAATGTTTTAACAATCATTCATTTTTTAATTTTTTAGTTTATCAAATTTGATTTATAAGTTTTATAAAATGTAAAATGCTGAAATGAACGATGATGTGACGGCATCAGAAATAAAGAAATATATATATATATATTACAAAATATTAAAAGTAAATTATTATATAAATAAAAATATACAATAACTTCTAAAGACGTAAAAACTTAAAAAGATGAATTTTACAATATTTTTTAAAGTTTTTATATTCATTATTTTCATAAATCTTTTTTTTTATATAAATTATGCGTAACCATTTTTTTTTAATAGCGACTTCAAATTGAATGATATACCAATAAATCCATGGGAAATTGGCAGGAGTAACCATATGACCAGTTAAAATTAATAAAATGACCATACTAAAAAATGTGCTATAGTATTGTTTGTATTTTGTATAATATATATCAAATTACCCTTTTCAATTTTAGTTAATCTTTTTTTCTATTCTCCTCTTCTCTTCTCTTTCTCTTTCCCTCCTTTGCATTCACGTCTTCTTATCTTCTCCCCTCCCGTTTTCTCCTCTCTAATCCTTCTCATTCTCTCCCCTCCCCTTGACAGGTCATACTATACAAATTATATGAAGTAATTATCTTTGTAAATAATTTAATATGATAATAAAAACTGATATAGTATAGTATTATAAACTGATATGTAATTACTAATTAGAACTTCAAATACTATACTATATTAGTCTTACTGTTTAAGAACATATATTATAATATAGTCTATAAAAAATTATGTGCTACAATCAAAACTATCTCCTATAGATATTATCGATTTAAAACAGAATGATATTTTAGTTATTTTTATGTGGGGTATAGTTACTTTTTATATATTTTGAATAGTATGATTATATTCTCTGATTTTTTATCAAATATGGCTATTTGGCTAAAAAGCCCTAAATTCATTTCAAAGTCATTTTTCATAATATTAATTTTTAATTTTCGCTGGAGTCCCAATGTACAAATATATATTTTTAGTATATTTGATGAATTTGAATTTGGATCTAAACTTTGAAATTTTAGTATCCGAATCTAGATCATTTTGCTATGAATTCAATTTTACTATTCAAATCCAAATCAGAGCACTCCTGATATCTTAGTTTTTGGATTCAATTTTACTATTCGAATCCAAATCAGAACACTCCTGATATCTTAGTTTTCAGAACGACTATTAAATCGATTCTTAAATCTCTGGAGAAAAACTATAAAGCAGTGAAGCTATAAAAAAAATGCAAGATTGTGATTAAACAATGTCAAAATTTCGGTACGAGAACAAAGTCTCAAGACCATTGGAAAGTGAGACTAATGGACTATTTCTTTTATTGAATTATATCAATTCCGGTCCATTATGTGTAGCTAAGTTATCTACAAAGATCCTGAAAACTGCGACGTGTTGAACGGAGATATTGCATTGATTCGCAAGGGCCAACTGTCATGATAAGTCCTGCAATACATTGGTGATGGCCTGATGGGTATATAACGCATGTCTTCACAGACGAACGAGAAAAACGCTTTCACTGATCAAAATCCTTATAACATATCGTCCATGGCTTCTCCTGTGTAAGATTTAATTAATTTTTTCCTCTCTCGTTGATGTGTTTTCTTCGTTTGTTCTTATCCCCAAGTTGGGAGCTTTTACTGAATTTGGCGAATTTTGGAATTTTGGCTTCTGGGATTTTGGGAAATTCATTATATATTTTATGTTTTTGTTTCCTTGGATCCTCTTCTGAGACAGTGTTGTACAAGCTCGCCCAGCATCGCTCGATGCTACATCCGATCCACCAACTCTTTTCGATGGAACCACGAGGTTTAAAATCTTCATTTCCTTCTTTTGCTCAAGATTTCTGTAATCAATTTGTTCTTCAAATCAACTTTTTTGGTTTTGTGTTTTCTTGTTCTTAATCAACGACCAAAGACTGTACACAAGCTACATTTGCCCATTTGCTCAGCGAGTTTGGATCACCAGAAACATCAAGGTTTAACAGCTTCTCCTTTGCATATCTAGATTTAGTCTCGCCTTTAGTAACATATTTGTCTAAATTAGAAAAAGTTACGGACCAGAGATTTGGGTCTCATGTAGTAGAGATTTGTTAATTTCACATTTCTATAGTCTTACGATTTCTCTTGCTAGACCACCAAGAACACTACGATCTAGCATCACAGTTAAACCAAACGAGTTTTACCTTTCTTTATGTGCCTACTTTGTTTATAAGTATAGTAACTTGGAATGAAAACAAGATTTGGTTGGTTTCTTTGGAATGTAGGGTTTGCAAGAAAAGATTAAACTTGTTCCTTTGGATCTTGGGAATAGGCCTGCTTGGTACAAGGAGAAAGTATACCCAGAGAACAAGGTAAAAATCTTATCTATACATGAATTCATGTGTTACATTACCATTTTCTAATCCTTGAACTGGTCAACAGTTTTTCTTCTCAAGTTCTGTTGTCATTATCTTTTGCAGGTGCCAGCGCTTGAGCACAATGGAAAAATCATTGGGGAGAGTCTGGATTTGATTAAATATCTTGATAATACTTTCGAGGGGCCTTCACTTTACCCCGAGGTAACATCATTACCATACATAAAGGGTGTTGTTTCCATTCTTAATTCTCTGATTTCCAATTCATTTCCCTCTCGTGTTAACTCTAGGATCATGCAAAAAGAGAGTTTGGCGAAGAGTTGTTGAATTACACTGATACATTCGTTAAAACTATGTTTGTGGCACTCAAAGGAGACCCCTCTAAAGAAACCGGTTAGACTCTAAACTGTTCAAAGTTTGGGGCTTTCGGGGTGAAAGCAAAGAAAGATATGACTGGAAATTTTCGTGTTCTTGATGCAGCACCTGTGTTAGATTATCTGGAAAACGCTCTGCATAAGTTTGATGACGGGCCATTCTTCATTGGCCTGTTGAGCTTGGTAATCGTTTCTTTTGCTTCTTTGTTTATCCTTTTGTTCGTCTACGTCTTAAATTGATTGTTTGGTTTTTTTCTTTCAGGTTGATATCGCCTATATCACGTTCATTGACATGTTTCAAGTCATACTCAATGAAATTTATAAGTGCGACATTACTGCAGAACGTCCCAAATTATCAGCTTGGGTCGAGGTATATATATATATATATATATATATATATAAGCAATCTTCCATAAAGTCAGAAAAGATTACACTTTTCTTTGTTAGGAATTGATACTAAAGTGATTGATGGCTGCTATGTTTGCAGGAAATGAACAAGATTGATGCCTTTGCAGAAACCAAGATCGATCCCAAGGAGATTGTTGAGATTTTCAAGAAAAAGTACATGGTGGTAAGTCTTATAGTTGATTTTATCGGATCCAAGCATGTGAGTTGCTTCATCATTTCTTGAGGGTAGAAGCTATTATGCCTTTAGGATATGGCTATCTAGGTGTGAACGTTTGTTGCTTTGGGTCAATTTCGGTCCTGGGAATGATAGTAGCATCCGGTCCGGACGCAAACCGAGCTTTGGTCAATGGGTATTTTGTATCTTTAAAGCGTTTTAATGCAAACGCCATGTCTTGTTGTTCCGGTTTACCAAATCTGAGTCGTATTCCGGTTTTATTCTTGCAGCAAGGAAGCACTTAGAGGTATAAAGAACCGGACCAAACCACCTGGTATGGATATGAAGTACGAATAATCACTTGATGCAATAAGATATGTACTTGAACTTATATGCAACAACAGCTTGATCTGTATTTTATTTTTCTGTTCATCAATAATCGGTGTTGACATTCTCCAATGACATTATTATCTATTCACACACCGATGATAGTAATACAATCAAAACCTGAAGCATTGAAAGTGTTGAAACTATAGCATAGCCCTAGATCTATAGTGTGGAAACTACAAGAATTCTTGTAGTGTATTCGTGTAACAAGAGGCCTCTTCGTTTCTTGATGTAGATGTTGCATTTACATTGAGCATCTAGTTGCTATTGAGCACCTGCGGTTTTGACGATTTGTAGTTTTGACTAAAAAATGTGATTATACAATTTTGACATGAAAACATGATTATGCGATTTTAACATTTTTGGTAAAAAATAATGATTTTGCATTTTTCGGCGAGAAATACGATTTTGCCATTTTAATTTCCTTTTGTGATCTTTGCAGAACAAAAAAAATACGATTTTGCGATTTTAATTTTCTTTTGTGATCTTTGCAGGAAAATATGATTTTACAGTTTATAAAAAATCAATTATGGTTTTAATTAAAATTATAAGTTTTACAGTTTTATTAAAAATAATATTTTTATGATTTTTCCAAAAAAATAAACAAATGTAATTATAGTTAAATTTCTATCATATTACAAATAGTGATTTGTGTTTTTTGGCAAAAAAAAATATAATATTACTGTTTTATTTGGCAAACCATCGCTCATAAATATTATCCAAAGCATATTTCCTCCTTTATTTTCGAAGGACCATCACCGCGGGATAAGCGATGGTTTTTATCAATAGGAAAACCAGCAGGCTTGCAACTAAGCATATGCCTACCTCATAAATATTAGGGTAATTTTCATAATTATACTGAAAATAAGTTTTCAGGATAAATATAACAGAGAAGCTAAAATTTTCTATTTCTAATATTTTTCGTTTGAATTTTCCAATTTTATCCTTTATGAAAGGTTTTCTAAAAGTGTTTTTTATGTTAATATTTCGTGATTTTTTTAGAAAGGTCTTCCAAATACTAGACTTTAACATCGTTTCATATGGTTTGTTTCATATGATTTAGGAGAATTTTTCTAAATTTTTAAAATTTTCAGAATTGTGGAAGAGTTTCTTGAATTGTGGAAGAGTTTCCTGAATTGTGGAAAAATTTCTTGAATTTGAATTGTATAAATTAACCAAAATAATAATCAATTATACGATTTATGAAGGCATTTCTAAATACATGTAATGACTTTCTTAATTTATATATTTTAAGAAAGTCTTCTTAAAATTTTAGAATATCTTTCTAAATTTACGTTCATCTCCTTTTTCATCTATGCGACGTCCAAGCCTTAATTCCCGCCGATTTCTTTTTTTTTTTCACTATTGTTGCTGTTTTAGTTCAGATTTCTTAAATTTTTTACCCAATTATATCAGATCTATCTATCATTATATGATTTTGAGTTTTAAATCATGAAATTACTTTTCCATCAAAAAACCTCAAAATCTAAGAAATTCACAATCATAAATCACAATCAAATGAAAAGAGTGATCTTAAACAAAACAAATAATTCGAATTTCAGATAAATCTTGGTCATTGATACATTTGTTTGTACATTATGTTTCTTCTCTTTTTATTAACTAATGTTTTGTCTAACTAAAATTAATATGGTACAAAATGTTATGAATGAAATTTTGTAGAGTGTTAGTGTATATGTGGAACAAAAATTTAGATTAAGTGCATTTGAGGGAATTTCTCTAAATATTATCCAAAGCATATTTTCGCTAATATAAATAAAAATCAGAGGGATTTTGAGCCATTTTAATGCCAAAAAAATATTTAAGAATCCCTAAATCTTTCATCTTAAAACATTGAGAGAGATAGTCTTTTAACTAGCGGAAAAAGAATTTCCTGAAATTATAAAATTATCAATATACACCAAAATCTGTATTGAAACACCACCACAGTAGTAACAAAAAAAGTGAGTAATCGGATCTGGTTTGCTTGAAGCCATATTTTTTAAGAGCTGTAGATAGTTTTGCGACCCAACAACGAGGAGACTGTTTTAACCCGTAATCAGATCTGGTTTGCTTGAAGCCATATTCTTTAAGAGTTGTAGATAGTTTTGCGATCCAGCAACGAAGAGACTGTTTTAACCCATAAATTGACTTTCGAAGATGCTAAACTCTGTTGTCACCAAGCGCAGAGAAACCAGGTGAATGTTTCATATATATTTCTTCATCAAGATCTTCATGAAGAAAAATATTATGCATATATTATGCATGGCCATTTTATGAACTTCATAATTACGTTTACCAGCAATATGAAGCATGATGAACTTCATAATTACGTTTACCAGCAATATGAAGCAAGAGATGGACGGTCGTCATCTTTGCAACAGGAGCAAAAATATCCTTGTAGTCAACTCTTTCTTTTTGATTATTTCCAAGTCTTACCAATCGGGCTTTGTAACACCCAAGAGTCCCATCAGCTCTAAGTTTGACACGAAACACCTATTTACTTTTGATTGCATTTTTGTGATGAGGAAGATCAACAAGATCCCAAGTATGAAGATCCTTAAGAGATGTAACTTTCATTGACATGGCTGGCGGCCATACCTTTGTTTTCATAGCTTCTTGAAATGAGCGAGGCTCAACTTCAGTGGTAAGAGAAGATAGCAGGTGGTTAGTTGAAAAATGTTCAGAAAGTATATATAATGTGTCAAAGGATGAGTCGTACCTGAGGAAAACTGAAGAAAGGGTGACATTGAGGGAAGAGAGGGATGAGAGACTGATATTATATCTGTAACACCCGCCTCTTTCAAACCAAGACGACATGTTAAAGTACATTAACTTCACCACAAGAACCCACTTGCTAGTTCAATGCCACTTTTATTCCCAAGGATCGTATTCAAAACGTCTTCCAAAAATCACTTTAACTTAAACAATGAATCCAAATTTGAATAACGTCTCAAAGATAAAAACGAATAATAAATTAAATTCCGTATCATCCCAAAACCATCACCAAGCCACAAGACTACTCTTGAATGTCTACGCGCTCACCTGCAGAGAAAAGAGAGATGAGTATTTCAACAATACTCAGTGAGGGCGGGTCCTAGGGACCCACGATATACATCTCGCACATGCATAACCATTCCAGATGAAAGTTCTAAGCTAATACACACAAGCAAACACGTCCGAAGACACTCATAGATCAAGAAATGACATCACTAGACCTAACTGGTGCATCTACGCCCTCACCAGCGCACACCCCGTGGTATATAGCAGCCCACACGCTGTCCGTCCTCAAGACGCAGGGCTCGTCAAGCAGCCAACGATGGACTATGGAGTCCCACACGCCTCCATATCTAAACATACATATCATACATCAATCAACAGTATTCCGTTTAACAATCTATGATACTAAGTTCATCAATCAGCAACCGCAAAACAATAACAATTAATATAGTGATTTTAAGCGCTACTAGTCAGGTTCAATCAACAATCAAATACGTGTATTCATATAGATACAGCGCAGGTATGCACGGATTATCAAAGGACTACTCAGTAAGAATAACTATAAATCTGAGAGAGATAGATCACGCCAGTCCTCACCTTAGTCTCAGATCGAAAGCAGAAAACAAAAATAGAAGGAGATCTGATTACTACGGGTCCTCGCCGAATGGATCACAGAGTCTAAGCTGAGAGATAGCAGCAGATTCGAGAAGACGGCACGAAGGGGTACGTTCTCGGCGACTCCAGTGGTTTTCCTGGCGACGGCGAACAGCGGCGGCAATTTTCCGGCGGCGGTGGTTTTCCGGCGACGGCGAACGGCGGTGGTCGGCGACGACGGCTCCGACAACTGTTCCGGCGAGATGCTCTGAAGAAAACTGGGCAGAGCTTCGCTGAATGGTTTTTCAGCAAAGGGGGCATTTGAATTTGTAGGGGAAGGGAGCTGCAACCCTAGGTCAACTCGGAATGGGCCTTAGGCTGGTGGGCCTGCAATCGGAAATGAGCTTTTCTGCACACTCTCTTTTGGGCCTGGGCCTGGAATGTCACAATTCCCCCCCACTAAACGGGAATTCGTCTCCGAATTCGAATCGCCATCCTGAAGCACACCAACGCCCCCAAAGAGCTCTGGATAACTTGCCCGCACCACAGCCTCGGGCTCCCAAGTTTCTTCCCGGATTCCATCTCTTTCCCAACGAACACGAACCAACTTTGTCTTCTTCCCTTTAATTTCTGACTCTTGACGGTCCAAAATTTCCACCGGTTTAGTCGTAATGGATAAGTCTCGACCCACGTCCATAGGCGGCACGACTAAGATCAGCTCTGGTTCACGAACCACTTTCCTCAAAACTGACACATGAAATACATCATAAAAGTCTGACAACTCTTGTGGTAAGTCCAACCGATAGGCAACTGCCCCTATCCTCTCGATGATCTTATACGGCCCCATGAACCTTGGCCTCAACTTCTTCAGCTTACGGTTTTTATCGGTTCTTCGGAATGTCCTCATCTTTAAATACACAGCATCACCAACTGCGAACTCCAAATCCTTTCTATGCTGATCCGCATAACTCTTCTGACGATCATGCGCTTCCCTCAGTCTTTCCTTTAGTAATTCCACCTGTTCCACTGTTTCTTGAATCAGCTCCGACTCTAAGTCTCGTCTCTCCCCCACTTCGGTCCAACACAGCGGGGTTCGACATGGTCTCCTATACAGAGCCTCGTATGGAACCATTTCAATACTGGAGTAAAAGCTATTGTTATAATCAAATTCAACCAATGGTAGATACTTTCCTCATTTTCCTTCCCAGTCCAACACACAAGCTCTCAGCATATCCTCAAGCGTCTGGATTGTTCGCTCGGACAGTCCGTCGGTCTGCGGATGATAAGCTGTGCTAAGATGCACTTTCGTGCCCAACACCTTCTGAAAGGCCTGCCAGAAGATTGATGTGAACTTTGGGTCACGATCCGAAATGATGCTA